CCAGAACTTAGAAGAGCTAAGTATAAATCGGAACTCTAGCCAAACTAAGTGTTTTCGGCAATTTGATAATAAATTCGTTAAAAGTGTAGTGTAGTTATTTCATAATTGACTATAATGTTCTAGTGAGAATTTCAGTAGAGTTAGTTATTTTTGGGCACTACCGGAAGAGGAGATATACGGAAGAGAGAAGCCCCAACTCAGATAGCCCAGCCACTACAGTCAGTTCCACCAGCCTGCGCCACATGCGGACGCCCACAACGAAGAGAGTGCTTAGCCGGACAGAATGTTTTCTATCACTGCCACAGGCCCGACCATACAACCCGTACCTGCATAGACCGTAGCAGTTGCCAGAAGATCCGATAAAAGCCTAGAAAACGAAGAAGAACTAACCCTCGCTCATGCGGGCGTTGAAGATGAGCATAACACTTAAGAGCCTGCATTTTGGATGATGAATGCGTTCGGGAGAAACATTTAATATATGACGTTTGGAGTAGACACCGTACGATCTTGTATGGACATCATTGCAATTCACCAGTGTACCGAGATAGTATTAAGAGAGAAGATTTCGCGGTCAAGAGTGGACTGACAGACGATCGGGAGAATACCCGAGTATTCTAGCCAGGATTGAACTTAAGTTTCAAGTTAAGAATAGACTCTAGATGCTGTCTCGAACTAATTTTAGTTGAGTATATGTAGTATCGATTTTCAGTGTATAAAAGTCACTATTCCGGGTGACCATGGCGGCTTGAAATAAGAGTCACTAAGCCAGGTGTACCATGGAGGCTTGAAAGTGGGTCCATGGCTTGAAAGTGGGCCAGGACGAACATATTTCTCCATACGAGATGGCTTGTGCTCGCCAGAAGGAATTGGCTCCGTGTCGCGGGTACACCGCACGCAAGTGCTACATGATGGTATGCCACGCCCGAGGGCCCTGGGTTGTTGGTGTGCCACATTGCTACGTGTCGCGTGCAAAGTATCGCGACGTCGTGTGCCAGATGGTACGATATAGAATTGGGAAATAGTTTTCCCTAAAAGTGAGCAATGACTTGCAAGTAGGTCCTACAGTGACATATCACCGGGTAGAGATCTCCGTCTAACCAGGCCTACCCTGGTCAGCCTAGCGTGAGTAAAGTAGACCTTACCTAATCAGGCAAGCCGATCAGCATGATAAGGTAAATGTGTTCGTCTAATCGGGTAAGCCTGATCAGCCTGAGGAAGCGTACAACAGACCTTGTCTAATCGGGAAAGCCGGCCAGCCTGACGAAGCATACAACAGATCTTGTCTAATCGGGCAGAACCCGATCAGCCTGACAAGGTAAACGTGCTCGTCTAATCGGGTAAGTCGATCAGCCTGACGAAGCATACAACAGATCTTGTCTAATATGGCCGAACCTGATCATCCTGACAAGGTAAACGTGCTCGTCTAATCGGGTAAGCCGATCAGCCTGACGAAGCACATAGTAGATTTTGTCTAATCGGGCAGAACTCGATCAGGCTGACAAGGTAAAATGTGTTCATCTAATCGGGTAAGCCCGATCAGCTTGCCGAAGCATACAGCAGACCTTGTCTAATTGGGCAAGCCCGATCATCTTGACAAGGTATACATGCTCGTCTAATCGGGTAAGCCCGATAAGTCTGACGAAGCATACAACGGACCCTATCTAATCGGGCAAGCCCGATCAGCCTGATACGGTTAACACCTTCGTCTAATCGTGCAACACCCGATCAGCCTGATGAAGTGTACGGTAAATCTTGTCTAATCGGGTGGAACCAGATCAGCCTGACAAGTTAGACCGCCACAGTAAAGAATTACAGCTCAGTTCTCCCTAAGACCAGAAGCGTCGCCATAGCCAGACCGATGCTGCTAAAAGGGAAAGATGGGCTTCCTCAGAAGTCCCCAAGTCATAATTTCTAAAGTTCTGCCTTGGACATTCCAGAGGCACATAGCGAATTTTGGCAAACTGCCATGGCAAACTAGTACCAGCGAGACCGACCGATGCCGAGATAGCCTATCACAATATCCAGATAGAGATCCTCATTCTGGAACTTGGGCTAACGGCGTATAATAGCCATAAGGCCGGGTAAATTATGAAGGCTTGAAATAAAAGTCACTAGTCCGAATTTGCGTGGGGGCTTGAAGTCTGAATTGTCGTGGCATTGCCAAGATCACTAGTTGGAGGAAGATCGAATTAAAGTTAAAAATCCTAGTTTTGAGTTTTGACCTGTACTTTAGTTTAGCATTTCCGGGGGCATAAATGTTTTAAGGAGGATAGATTGTAACGGCCAGAATGTTTTTACTATTTATGGAGCTCGACTTTATTTCCATAAATAGTCAGTTTCCTAATTTGATGCAATTAACTATTATTATTTGCATTAAATCGAGTAAAGTTTAAAGTCTAACTCATGGAGAATTTATTCGATTTTTAATTATTAAAATCGAATTTATTTAGCCCAAGTATCGGTTCTATTTTTAAAACCGAGCCTTAGATAAATCGAAAATTTTATCTAAGCGGACCGAAGCCTGAATATTTAATCTATTCGAGCCTAATCATTTACGAGCGAGTCCAATTATTTTAGCCGGCCCATTTAAGTTAATCGAGCCTATGTTCGATTTTATTTCGGTCCATTTTATTTTAGTAAAATCGAGCCCATATTCGATTTAATTTTAGTTCATTTTAAAAATCGAGCATATGTCGATTTTTAAATCCGAGCCCAATTATTTTAGTAAAGTCAACCGACTAAATTAATTTAGTGTAAGTCTCGTTATATTTTTAATCTACCTGAACAATTTATTTTAAGCTAAGTCCAATGTTCGGTTGTTATCTAGCCCGATTACATAGCCGATTATAGCCCAAGTGTTGGTAATTTTAAGCCCGATTTTAAAATGCTAAAAGCCCAATATTGAGGCCCAATTTCAATCAAAAACCCTAACACTCACCTACCATATATATGTAACATTCATCTTCATCCTCTAGCCACAAAGTTCGTCATCCTCCACACCACGTTCAAGAATCCGGCCAATTTCTGGCCATCTCCTCCGGCGAGCTCACCACCGGCGACCAGCCGAGCCGCCGTTCAGCCCTTCACCCCGGTTCACGCCTAAGCTCACAGCCGAGTTCGGGAAGCTCCTCCACGCAAGCTCAGTCCGTGCGCCGGCAGCTCCGACTTCCGGCGAGTTCCGTCCGTCTGAGCCGCTTCACCGTCGCGAGCTCAGCCTCGCACCTGCACCAGCTCCGACGAACCAACCCTGTTCATCCCGCCATTCGCGAGCTCAGCTGCCGCCGTTCACAACTCCGGCGAGCCCAAAACTGCCGCCGTCTAGCTCGTCCTAGCCGAGTCGGACCCTTTCCAAGTCACCTTCTCGCCGTTTCAGCCCGTTCGATGTCGGTTCCGGCGACCCCTGCTCGCTGCTCCAAACTCCCCGCCGTCAACACGCCATCTCTGGCGACCCTCCTTCACGACGATGAGTCGTCCGTACGCCGGCGCCTTCGCGCAGCCATCTCACGCCGTCGACGACCGCTGCACCGGTGACCTCGCAGTTCCCCGCTGCCATCTCCGTGCGACCCGCTCCGGCAAACCAGCCCTGCACCAGTCGACCGTACGCGAGCTCAGCCCCGGGCCGCTCAGCCCCGATCCGCGAGCTTCGGTTCTGCACCTGCTTCAGGTTCTGTTGAGCCAGCACATACCTGGGTCCAGCAGCTCAAATCTGGGCTTAACCACCACAGCCCGACCCGATCCGGTTAAGCCGATCCATTTCCACTTAGCCCAGCCATTTTCCGATTTTATTTTTGAGCCATTTTGAGGTATATTAGCTGAATCTTAAACTGCATGGCCTTAAACAACAATTTAAGTTAATTATAAAAATGAGTTTGAGAATTTTGAGCAAGATATGAATTTATATGATTTTATTGAGTTAAATGGAAAGAAATTCGTAATAAATAGTGGGATAACCCAAAAATTATGAAACCAACTCGATAAATCCTATTTTGATGTCTTGAGGCTTAGGTTCAAATTTGGTGAATTTTGGAGTTCGTTTGATAGGCGAACGGATTTTATAAATTTGGACCGTCAATGTCCCTTTTTTGTCCCTTTTTTGTTGACTGAGTTAGGAGCTGATTTTGGATGTGATATTTTGACCAAAAATCATAAATATATTGAAGTTGCTTTGGTTAAATGTTCGTGATTTTTGGAGACCATTTGATATAGATTAAAAATCGAGACGTTAGTCTCAGTTGGCGAGAATTTTAGAAAATTAGTCCGGTTGCGATTTAGCTGTAGTGGTTGATTATAAATTCAGTATAAATTACATAGAGATTAGTGTTTAATTATCGGCTTAAATTGAGTTAACATTTTCGAGAATCGAAAACTCTAATTTTATCCGGTTCCGATAACCGGGTAATTTTAGATTTGAGTTTAATCACTGAACCCCTAGTTACGTTTAAATAATTTTAGTCATTGTAAGATTATAAATGAGTCCTTGGGTCTCGGGCTGTGGTCGGTCGGTGGCAAGGGCCCCGTTGAACATGCCCGAAACCGCCCCAAAATCGACCTGGGTCGAATCGGACCCTTGATAAAATCGGGCCTATTCTGGGTCTTAGTTTTTCTTTTTTGACCCTCGGGTTTCGGGCCGATTCTGGGTCGAAAGATGAGTCGTAGTTGTTTTTTTTTATTTTTTATTAGAAAAATAAAAAAACCACCGTTGGGTCGGGCCGATTCATTTGAACCGGCCTTAGATATAGTTGGGCCGGTTCCAGGCCTAACATTTGAGGCTTGCCGACCCGGTGGGCCGGGCTGGATTGTGAACCAACCCGACCTTTGGACACGTCTAGCCCCAGGCCTTTTAACCCGAATCCGAAAGGGTTGACTCAAGTTAAAATCCTTCACTACAAAGTGCACACACACATTACCGCCTCAAGCCAATAAACCTAAGCAGCACCTCGGATTCTTCGTGTGAAATACTCAAGCTTCAGTAAGCCCAAGGTTTACTGCAGCCATCGTTAATGCTCGCATTATTTTTCCCCATGCTGGTCTCCAAAATGTGGTCAGTTTCCTCCAAGAAACTCTTCAAAAGCCTCCAATTCTTTCGATTGCAGTCTGTCCCATTGCTTGGCCATGTCACCCCTTATTTCTCCGATTTGGGTTTCGAGGACCTGAGCCCCGATATGGGATGCAATTATACTGCAAAAGCTTCAAGCAATTCACCAATGAAAGGAGGAGTTCTTCTGAGTTGAGCACCTTGGAGGTCGTCGAGATTCTAAAAAGCATGCAAGGCGAGCCAAACTTCGCCTTCACGTTCTATTAGCATGTTGGGAAAAAGGGTTTCTAGCATGATGTGCGTACTTACTTGGCCATCTATAAAATACTCTGTTTTTGGGGCTCAGACAGAAAGTTTGATTCTTTGTTAAAAGAGGTTACTAGCTCGGGAAATGAGTGCCAGTGTTTTTAGGTGTCAGAGTTGTTGGGGGTGATTGCGGAAGAGTTGAGGGCCGGCGGGCCTCGCATTCTGCTCTGGGCCATTGATTCTCTTATCAAGAGGTATGTTACTTTAGGATGTTTGATGAGGCTGTAGACGCCCTTTCAAGACCAAGCGGCGCGATGTTAGGCCATGCTTGCTGTCTTGTTATTTCTTGATTAGCAGGTTGGTTGGGAGTGGGAGGGTCGATACGGTTGTTGCTGTTTATAAGCAATTGAAGACAATCAGGCTTAACCCGAATGTGTATACTTATGCTATCATGATTACCGCATACTATTGGAACAATTGTTTTGAAGAAGCTGAAAATGTGTTGAGTGAGATGGAAGCAGCTGGGGTTGAGCCTGATTCTTTTATGTACTTTGCTTATCTTGAAGGGCTCTGCATGAACGGATTGACCGATTCTGGCTACAAGGTTTTACAGTCTTGCAAAGCTGGAAATGTCCCTATTGATGCTTATTCTTACACTACTGTGATTCAGGATTTTGTTAATGAAAAGAAGCTGAGGGAGGTTGTGAAAGTTTTGCTCGACATGGAAGAATACGAGATGATTCCCAGTGAGGCTAACTACCGTGCTTTAGGCCAGGGGTATTGTGATTCTAGGGATACAACTAAGGCCTTAGCTATTGTTGAAGTATTTTACCGGAGTTGAATCGAAAGATTCGTTTCCCGGATCGTATCGCAAGGAAGGTTAGCCTAATTTAATTGTACGATTATTCAATCACAAGAAAGGAGAAAACAAATTTCTAAACACTCTAATTCAAAAGTTTGGCTTTTAAATGATCAATTAATGATTCTAAAGCTAAATAAAATACGATTTCAATAGCAAACAAATTCACTTAATGAATAAAGAACTAGAGAATCGGAGAATCGCTTTCGATTCTAACACAATTACCAGACATCAGTTTCTCGGTTAAAAGACTTGAATCGTTTCTCGTCTAGAGGTTCACTCTCAATAACTCTTCGTAACAAGTGAGTGAATGTAAACGATCAACTATCAATTCCAATAACACATAGACTATACAGTAAAGAACAAGTCTATTCTAAACGAGCCTAAATCGATCGACGTCTCCCCTCTCGGTTCTAAACGTCGATTAACTAGGTTAGAATGGTGATTCATCAACTAACCCTATAATTCACACAACTCGCATAAATTGAACAATTAAAGGCATGCAATCATAGACGAAGCGAAACAATCATCCCCTATCCCTAGCTAATGAATTTAGCTACTCATTACCAATTCAACATCACAATTCACATCAACCTAAGCCATCATCATCATAAACAAATTGAGAAAAAGAACTTACAATTAATGCTAAAATCCCAGTGTCAAATTCAAGTGCAATCCAAATCCAAAGCGAGAGGAGTTTTTCAATCTCCAAATCAAATCCAAAGTGAAAAACTAATGAGGGAAATGTGTTTACTAAAGAGAAAAAAAACATAAAAACAAATAGGGTAAATGGAATAGAATGCCCTAGGTCCAAAAACTGATTAAAAATCCTGAAAAACGATTTTCGCGTCTCTGAGTCACGACTTAAGTCTGGTAATATTGAAGGATTATGGTGGCAAATGTTGTCTTCAAAGTATCCCACATAGGCTCTCGACAATGAACATAATGTTCTGCAAGTGGTCAGTGCTGGAACGCACATAATTTACAACGCGTACAAATAAAATTTGAGAAGAAGTCATACCTTCTTTTTACATGAAGCATTTATTTCAATAAAAATAAGCGTCTTACATGGTTTGCGGTTTCCCTTTGTTAGTCATCAAGATAGACCTTGTTCAATGGTATGTCGCAAATATCTTCTTGTTGCGTTATCTGTCCTTCAATACCTTGAACGTGACGTAGCATTCCATGAAATTGAGGTGGGGAGAAATTTCTATGAAGCACACATTGTACAATCAGTTGAAAGCTTGATCAATCTGTGACTCGTGTGACATGGCATCTGATCGAATAAAACGTTGTAGTATCATACAAAAACGCTCTTCGTTGCTCGCATTCCATATTTTGAAAAACCTTCACATATAAATTTAAAGTGTTCAGCCTTTGTGTTTATTTGTGGCAAATTCATGATTTTGTTGTATTGCTTGAATGCAGTGATTGAAGATGGCAAAAGCCCACTTACAATGAGTGTATTTATAAGTGGAGAACATCATGTGTCATTTTGCACGGCTAGAGAAATCTTATACGTGGGCCAATATTTTTTGGGGCCGTCCATTTGGTTTGTAAAATAATGTTATAAACAATGTGCCTCATTTTGTACCGAACCTAATATTTACGTTTTTTTTTTGTCTCTATATATAGGACAACAATTTCATTTATATTAATATGATTTATAAACATAGTCTATCAGTTTGTGTTATTTTGGTTGTAGTACACAATTGTAATAATGAAAAGATGAACAATAATTACATGTATTATAACATAATAGGAGAATATTCATGACTTTCATCCATGAGTACTACATGTCCTCAAACACCATCACATAATTTTGTTACACGACAAAATATGAGTTCACCCTCAACACAGATTAACCTAGAAACACAAATTACACCATTGTAACCTCGAAACGAACACAAATATAAGGAATTAATGCGAAACACCATGTAGACTCTTCAACCATTTCAGTATCATTCACAAATTCCTGAGCATCCCAATTTTGCGTCAATACTTTTCCATGTCCTTCAACTATTTGTAATTCATATCTACTCTCCTCAAAGTTCAAAATTACTCTAGTTAAGTCGGTCAGTTCGGCTAAAACGTAAGGTCGCCAAAAATTAATCGGAATAAGCTGCAATAGCGGGTAGTTTTTAATTATGTATGCGCTTAAAAGTAAATCAAAAATAACATAAATTAAACGGATAGTGATACAAAATTACCAAGCGCGCACATTCTACATGAGTTTTTTTAATCTGCAGCGTATAACGGTGTCGAAGATCCCGTTCAACTTGATTGTTATTGTCACTATGTAATCCGTTAAGGATGTGCGGTCGAACCACAGACAATTGTCCTGAGGACATTATGACCAACAATTATCCATGAGGGCTGTCTGTTAAGGATGTGCGGTCGAACCACAGACAATTGTCGTGACCGACAATTGTCTGTGGTTCGACCGCACATCCTTAGCGGATTACGTAGTGACAGTCCTCACGGATAATCAAGTTGAACAGGATCTTCGACACCGTTATACGCTGCAGATTAAAANCATGTGGAACGTGCGCGCTTGCTAATTTTGTATCACTCTTCGTTTAAATTATGTTATTTTTAATTTATTTTTAAACGCATACATAATAAAAAACTACCTGCTATTGCAACCTATTCCGATTATTTTTGGCGATATTACATTTTAGTCGACTGACTTAAAGTAATTTTGGACTTGAGGAGAGTAGATATTAATTACAAATAGTTGAAGGACATGGAAAAGTAATGATGCAAAATTGAGATGCTCTGGAATTTGTGTGGATGATACTGAAATGGTTGAAGGGTCTACATGGTGCTTCACATTAATTCCTTATATTTGTGTTCGTTCCAAGGTTACGTTGGTGTAATTTGTGTTTCTAGGTGAACTCGTATTTTGTCGTGTAACAAAATTATGTAATGGTGTTTGAGGACATGTAGTACTCATGGATGAGTCATGAATATTCTATTATTATGTTATAATGGATGTTATTATTGTTCATCTTCATTATTACAATTGTGTACTACAACTAAAATAATACAAATCTAAGTAGGCTATGTTTATAAATCATATTATTATAAAAGAAATTGTTGTCCTTCTATATATAGGAACAAAAAAAAATGCAAATATATTAGATTTGATACAAAATGAGGCACATTGTTTATAACATTATTTTACAAACCAAATGGATGAACTCAAAACATATTGGCCGCGCAATATTCTTGCAAATGATACATGTTGTTCTCAACTTATAAATACACTCATGGCAAGTGGGCTTTTACCATTTTTGATCACTGCATTGAAGAAATACAACAAAATCATGAATTTGCCACAAATAAACACAAAGGCTAAACACTTTTAATTTATACGCGAAGGTTTTTCAAACAAATGGAATGCGCGTAACGAAGAGCGTTTCTGTATGATACTACAACGTTTTATTCAATCGGATGCCATGTCACAGATTGAGCAAGCATTCAACCGATTGTACAATGTGTGCCTCATAGAAATTTTAAGGTTTTTGTTGGAGCAAGACGATGTTGTTTGCGACGTAACATTGAACAAGGTCTATCTTGATGACTACCAAAGGGAAACGCCGAACCATGTAAGGCGCTTATTTTTATTGAAATACGTGCTTCATGAAAAAGAAGGTATAACTCCATGTCGCGACTCGAGCTCGCGAACTGAACCTTCAGGCTCTGAAAAACTCGCGGGTCGAAAATTCTGGTCTTCGTTTTTTCAATCCTCGACCGACACAATTATCATGGTCTTGGCTCAAGCAGTTCCAACCTCGACCGACACAATTATTTTGTTGTTGCAAATTATTTTGTTTTTTTATCGAGTACCGAATCAAACGATTCGTTCCCCGGGTCGATCTCACGAGGAAGGTGGTTCAGAATTTAGGAATGATGTTGATAACATATAAAAGAAAAATAATTCATAAACACAATAATCAAGATGGATTGGTTTTATCAACTAAGAATTATAGAATAATGTAAAAACATAAATCTACCAAAACTACAAATTAAGTAAGGATGGAGAAGCTAGGGCATCGGGGATGATGATTCTCAAACCAATGCAAATATAATCATTCGGTTAAATGATTCGAACAACCTAACGGCTAGAGATTAATCCTCAATAACTCTTCGTAACAAGAGGGTATCATAGACGGTAAATTACGCAAATCACACAACACATCGACAATACGTTTACGAACAAGCCTATTTCAAATGAGCCTAAATCGATCGACTTCTTCTCTTTCGGTTCTAAGAGTCAATTAAATTATCCTACGATTGTTAATCAACTAGTTCGTTGGATTCAATCACATCACACAAAAACGAATCTTATTCAATTGGAAATCAATTGCAAATCGAAATGTCACTCTTCGACAATATTCAACATTCAATGCACGAGAATTATAAACCCTAGGTAAGAACAACTCACATAAATTGAACAATCAACAAGCATTGTAATCACAATCAAATTCTAAACATCATCATCATCATCCCTATCCCTAGCGAATTAACTACTCATATTCGATTCAAAATCAACAATCTCAACAATCAAAGCCATCATATTAATGGATTAGATGAAAAGAGAAACTTACGATTAATAGAAAACCGAGATTCGAATCCAATGACAAAGCTTAATCCGAGAAATTAAGAAAGAAAAACCAGCAGAAACAACGATCAAAATCCAAGTTTAAGAGTAGGAGAAAGTGAAAAAACGATATTGGGGATGTTCTATCGAGTCTGGGGTCATCCCAATATATAGGCTCGAAAAATCGAGCAAAAATGAGAAAAAAGGAGAATAAAAAACAGGGTAGAACAGGTCGCGAGTCGGCTGGTCGCAGAGGCTGGTCGGAGACTGTTAAAGTCGCGAAATCGCGACTTTAGCTGCGCCGCGACTTTGGCTGCACTGCATGACTTTACGTTTTGGGCTCGTCCGAACTCGGAATTGAGTTATGTTTTTTGCTATGCGTCGCCAACGAACCCTTCTATTCAATTATACTCTTCAAACTATTTTTTCCTGCTGAGAAAATTCTCCCGAAGATCCCGACCTACACACCATAAACGACAAAACACGAAGAAAATCAGAAAAACAAACGAAAAACACCTAGACTCACAATGAAGGAAAACACGTAATAAAACACGAAACGGACTAAAAACGAAAGAAACAACTTAAAATGGGGGGAAAAAGAAAAGCAAAACAAGCACGAAAAATGTAACAAAAATGGGACAAACAGCTATCCATAAGGAGATGGAGACAATGGGTCTCAGGACTATTTGTAAGATTCTCACTTGTGCCAGAAGGGAATGCATCTTCAAGCAGTTAATCAGTTCAGTGAGTTTGAAAAGTTGGGCAAACTTTTCATCTATCTTGATAAAGTTACGTACAATGTTGTTATTGACTGTTCTTGTAAAATGGGCTGGTTAGACGAGGCCCTAATTTTGTTTGATGAGATGAGGTGTAAGAATCTCATGCCCGATGTCGTCACTACACCACGTTAATAGGGGGCTACTGTCTCCACGGCGATATTTTTTATGCTATAAACTTGTTTCAGGAAACGAACAAAAGCGGTCTTAAGAGCTGACATTATTATTTATAATGTCCATGTCGTTGGTCTGTCTAGAAATGGTCTTCGCGATAAGGTTAAAATCCTTCTGGTGCTATTAGACGTGAAGGCTTGACACCCAATGCAGTGACACACAACACGATCATTGAAGGCCTATGCTTTGGGGGAAGCTGAAGCATATATTGTTAATTTAGAAGACAAGACTGTTGAAATTTATATTGCAGTGGTTAATGGATACTGTGAATCGAGCATGGTTATAAGCTATTTCTTAGACTTTATGATCAAGGAATTGTTATGAATAGGAATTCTTGTTTGCAACTACTTAGCTCCCTCTGTGTGGAAAGGCGAATTCGAGAAAGCCATCACGCTACTTGAGATATTACTTTCTATTGGTGATGGCCCTACTAAGACGATGTACCTCAAGCTTATTGCCGCTCTTTGTGGTGCTGTAGATATGACAAAATCTACAAATGCCTGATAGGCCTTTGACCACATGGTCAGCAGAGGGCTTGTTCCAGATGTAGTTATCTACACCATAATGATGAACGACTATTGCCGGGTGAATCACCTGCAGGAAGCCCTTGATCTTTTTACGACATGAAGGCCAAAGGCATTTGTCCTAACATAATTACTTAAACTGTTTTGCTTGCTTGATGGGCATCACAAAATAAGTCATGCTTGATGGGCATCACAAAATAAATCAGAAAAGGGTGCGATCTCGCAATGCTTGTGGGAGAGGTGAAGGCGGAGAGCAGATAAATGAATGAGATGGAAGCTAAGCCTGATGTCATCTGTGTAACAGCATAATTGACAACCAAAGCAAGCATGAGGATGCTATTTTCCTTTTCAGTGAGATGATTGAGCAAGGTTTACAACCCGATACAGTCACATACGATCATGGGCATACGTGGACACCCAAAATTGCAACAAAACACCAAAAATGCAATACGCTAAAAATGTAAAGCATAAAATCAATGGCATGTCAATGTAAGGCAGAAAATCAAATGAAACAAGATAATAAACCTCTACTCCTTGAGAAACTCCTTCAGCTTGTCAAATCCTGTAAAGCACCAATAAATGCCTCTGAGCCTACTCCGAAACTCGGCTACATCGAACAGCCCTAGCCCCATCTCATGAATTTCGTCAAAATTGGCTGGCACGAGACCCATAGGGGGTTATCAGAAATTTCATTGGTTGTCTTTGTATCTGACTTGGTATTGACGTCGACGACATCGATGGGGCATCAGATACGAGGACAACCAATGAAATTTTTGATAACCCCCTACGGGTCTCGTGCCAACTAATTTTGACGAAATTCATGAGATGGGGTTGTTCGATGTAGCCGAGTTTCGGAGTAGGCTCAGAGGCATTTATTGGTTCTATAACGACCCAAAGCTGACCATCCCGGGAAATGCATCCCGCTCTAGGTGCTTTACAGGATTGGATAACTTGAAGGAGTTTCTCAAGGAGTAGAGGTTTATTATCTTGTTTCATATGATTTTCTGCTTTAATTTACTTGCCATTTATGTTCAGCTTTACATTGAAAATTTTCTGCTTTACATTTTTTGCGTATTACAATTTTGGGTATTCTGCTGCAAGCGAGGTAATCTGCTTTGCATTGGTTGTCCTTTTATCAGACTATTGCAAGCGGGGAGATATGGGCATGGTTGAAGCTCTATTGAACGAGATGAAATCTACTGGAATAGAGCCAGATAATCGTACGACCTCAACATATGATCATGGTATCCGGAGGGAAAAGAAAGCGAATTTCTCCTGGAGTTGTCACTCTTAGATAAACTCAGTTTATGTTGCTCTGTAATTCTTGTGTGTCCTGATAGATGATCAAATTTATTTTGTCCTTCCTGTTTCTGTGGTTTATTTGCTTGCTCAAGTGGATTTCCTTGGTTGCTGAAGTTTGATGCCTTTAATTAGTTGTAGGTATTCCAACTGAAGAAGGTTAATCTGTGGAAAATGGGTTTGTGTGGATTGCACTACCCTGGTCAGCTCCATTCACGTGGGTTGAGATGGAGATTTTGTTCTTTTTTTAGTTCAGGTCAGAGGCCAATTATGCTGTTTCAAATTTATTGTTCAACTTCTTTCTTGAAATTGGTTAACATTTCTTTGAAAGGTTGGGAATCAATACGCATGGAAGATGATTTGTTCTGACGAATGTAAGCCCTTGATCTATAAGTTAGAGAAAATTTATTATGGATCTCAAGATGGAAAGTGGGATAGCCAAAAGCATATCTGGCATCTATATATGTTTCAAAAGTAACCCGTTTAATAGAATGCTCAGTTTTCATGAATAGCTCTTAATTAATCGAGATCGACATTAATCTTCTCCATTTTTATATGTGGGTTCTCTAACAGTTGTCCATGTTAGCTTTGTTACTTTCTCTTNNCCCAATATGTATATTTATATATTGCTTCCAATGAGTCCATATATTATTGGTAGATAGAAATATGATGAACTCAAACTAGTTTTTGCAAAAATTTGAAACTGTTGTTATTTTCTTTTAAACAATCATACTTGAAGCTGAGCTGGTGATTTTCTTGGTTACTAGGCTGAACTGAGAGCTAGTGTGTCTGAATCAATAGAAAAGGAAGATAGAGTGATAGAGAAAGATGGACTGCCCTTGATCTTGTAGGTAGCTGCAACGACTGTGCAAAGCAACTGCCCAATTCCCCTTCAGGTTTTTCAAGTCTCAACATTTTTTTTTTTTTTTGCCTTTTTTTTGTGCTCAATGATTATGTGCTAGTTATACTACTGTTTCTGCGTCATAATGTCATATTTATGCATTAGCCCCAGACAGAAAAATGTCCCGTGTATTTGCGTCATATTATATTCTCTGTCTAGCAGACTAGATACTAAATTGTGTCTAGGATATAATGGATTTTGCATATTCGTAGAAGTTTCATCTTTGCCTATTAACATCTAATTTTGTGCACTAGAAGCCACACAATAAGTGTCAGACTCTGTGCGATTCAGAAGCGAATAGCCTTATATCCCTTTATTATTGATGTGGTTTGCAGGAATGCTTCTGATTGCATTGATATATGAATTGTTAGAGTTTAGTTTTGTCCCATTATTGGGTTGTTATTGTGTGTAAGCGTGGGTTGAACACCCTTTCTCTTTGTGCTAGCTTTTGGGGATGAGTTCTACCAAGACCCCATTATCATGAATAACTCGATTGGGCATAATTCAACCACACCTTGAAATTTTACTTGCCAGAGTGTAATTTGGTACTTAATCGGCATCTTGCCACTCGTTCTGCTAAAGTTATGATGTGCATTTTGTTATCTTTCTTGTGAAATTCAGCCCATGGAATCGTCGAACTTAGATTTCAAAGAATCAGCAAGAATGGATACAACCTTAGTCCGAATGGGCTGTGGACCATTGGTTTTGATATAGTAATTTCTGGTTCATTCGGTGCTCATTGCTGGCCTTTTTCTTCTTCAGTCTTCTGGTAAGTAGTCAATGTATTTGAAATTTTTCCTGCAACAATCTTTTTTTTTTCTTTTCTTTTTTTTATTTGTACAAATTTTATTATGATTGTCTTTCAGATTGTTGAGCTGGCTCATCATCTACTTCCTGTAAAAGGAAAGATGAATACAACTGAAGAGATAAGAAAATGATAAGCTTCCTGAAAGAGGAAGGAAGTCTTTGCCTCGGCTGCCTTTGATAATTTGCAGCTGGACAGAAAAGCTCGTAATTTAACTACTTCATCGAGGTTTTTTTTTTTTTAACCCTGAATTTTTCATGCTTGAGATTTTTCTGTGATTCATATCCAGAGAAAGCAACTCTTTATCTATAGTGAAGTCTTGAAAAATGTTTTTGCTGATGGTGTCATGTGGTGTTGTACTGTTGTTAGTTACTAATGGAATAAATCATGGGATTGCAAATTTTGAACATAGTCAGTCGATATGAATGGGATGCATTATTATATTTGCTTAGCGAGAAGTCTCGAAAGATAAGGGAAGTTGCAAGTAGAAATTTCTAAAAGAAAATAGAACATTGGATTTGAAGTAAAAATAAAAATATATATATTTCTTTTAAGGTATGTGAGTGCATGTACCGTTAAGTGTAGTTTAAGCTTGGCTCTAGTTGGTACCGATGAACTCCTAGTTGTTGTTTTGTGGTGCCAACCTTCCTATGATGTTAGAAAAGCTAATACTAAACTTGTGAAAAGAAAAAAGACATGAAATTAAGGAGCTTTAAAGCTTTTTTCAAGGCCGAATTTGTGTTGACTAGTAACAGATGTATTTTTAAGGGAAAAATAGTGAATCCGGTACCCAGATTAAGCTATAATATCAATCTTAGTTTTAACTATTGAAACACTCAGCAATTTTCAAACTCGGCCATTAAGTTGTCGTTAAAACTAATAGGAAAAAAATAGGGTGAACTTAATGGCTTGTTTTAGTAGTTAGTGTACTGAACTTGAGATGTATTGAATGTGGGGTATTAACATTGAAATTGCAAGTTAGTTTGGCTACTGAAATCACAATTTACACTCTTTTTAGTTATAAAATTAATGACAGATGTCTTGAATTTATAATATACCTAGTGAAATCTTTTCAATAAGAGATGAAAAAGAGTGCGAGGGATAGAGGAAGTCGTAGGTTAAACTATTGAATATGATATTTGGTGGAATTTTTTCATCGGTGGTAAGACATGGAAATAGAAGAAATCACTGATTAGATAAGATAGGGAATAAAAGAGAAGCAATTTCAAGTTTTGAACTAGAATATATTTAATTCATGAGATGGAACCATTCATGTATTGTTTCCTTTGGAAGCACATGGTTCAGAATTCAGATACAGAGGATTATAAAACACAAGTTGTTTCAACCCATGGTTCAGAATTCAGATACCGAGGATTATAAAACACAAGTTGTTTCAACCCAAAAATCATTAGTTTTGTTCTCAGTTGTGATTATTTTAACGTTACACAAGTTGTTTCAACCCAAAAATCATTAGTTTTGTTCTCAGTTGTGATTATTTTAACGTTACATTCTCAGTAGTTTTAAGGGATCTCTGTGTTTTTTATTTGTTAATATGTTTGCAGATAACAGTTGTTAATATCCGTGTTGGGCTAGACAAGCACCCGAGCACCCTGATTTTCGTCAAGGCCACTCTGTGTTTCGATAATGATGTTTGCTGGAGACGGCTTCTTTACGATATTCAGGTTGGCCGATTATTTTAGGTTCTGCTTGTCTTAGAAGTGGATGCGTTTGACATTGCAGACCTGGTTGGTCGGAAAATATACCTCGGACGGGTTATTTTGGGATCATAGAAAACCTGTCGCTCATATGTTTATTTCTTGTATATTTAGGCCCCCGTTTGCTTTGCCACTTGTTATTTTTTTTATTAATAGTGACCAAATTGGTATGAACTAAATATGTGCATCATGTATATGCTTATATTTAAAAAATATGAAGTATCAACAATGTGTAAACAAAGTAACAAACAGAATAACTGAACATGTGTCATGTTTGTCCCATTTTTGTTGCATTTTTCGTATTGATTTTTCCTTTCTTTTTCCCCCATATTAGGTCTATTCCTTGGTTTTTAGGTTGTTTTATAGTTTATTGTGTGTTTTGCTTTATTTTGGTTTTTCTTGTGTTTTCCGTTTGTTTTTCCGGTTTTTCTTTGTTTCTGGTGTGCAGGTCGAAAGCTTCGGGAGAATCTATTTTCCATGATAAGTGGGCTAGGTGAACATCATTTAATAGAGCATTTCGTTGGCAACGCACAGGAAAAAGCGGAATCGAATTCCGATGTCAAACGAGTCCGAACGACTCCGAAAGGTGAAGTCACGCAAGTGGTCCGAGCACCAGTACTAGCCGCTGTCCGAGCATTAGCGCCGCTAGCTAGCAGCTAGCG